TTTGTACCTGAATTTATGTTCATAACAGCCGCCATTTCTGGTGGACTTCAGAGGTCCACCAGACGGTGCCGCCATACATTTCTTTGTAAAGATCGGCATATAAAATTGCTCGGTTCGACTCAAAATTTCACGGAATTACAGCATTTTAATACGTCTATGATGTGATAGTAACGAAATTTTATCTTTGATTTTAAAACTCTCTAAAAATGTTGGTGCCGTGAAAGCGTATAAACATGACCTCGCCAATAACATACATTTCCTTCTAAAAAATTAGCGTAATAAATTGCTTATATATTGGCAAATAAAACTCCTTTCGGCGAAAAAATTCTCAGGGATACAGAGTTTTACTCGCTCTTTCACATGAATTACTTGAATTTTTGTTTATGACTAATTTTACGGAAAAAATATTTTTCTATGACGTACATGCAAACGAAGAGCCGTGATGGAACAGGTATAACAGACTCCACTAACATTATTTCGAAAGTCACCTTTAGTACGCATTTTCTCATTTTTTCCTATGTATTGATTTCAAAATCACTTTATATATATTTTAATGAAAAATCTGGACCCGCGACTTTTTTAGCCGCACCCGCGAGTTGGTACCCTCGACCCGCGCGACGCGGGTCGCGGGTACCAAGTTTCCTGTCAAAAGTCACTGTGTAACACTGTGTAACAAAGTCACTTAGGTACACAGGAGTACAACAGTCACAGAAAGCCAATCAAGCCAAACAGGCATTCTAATATGACGCGAAAGAACTGAAACTCTTAATTATAAAGATGGTGGCGTTGTAAGCGTAAAACCCAAAGAGTCAGATAAGAAATTTGTCAAAGCAAATGGATATCAAAACAAGTGGATATCAGAACGTGTTAGATAAAGACGGAGGACGGACGAGTATTCCGTCGAAAAAGAAAGGATCTCCAGAAGACAAAAAGTGATCGGGTTTTTCGTAAGCCTACGTACCCTAAGTGACTTTGTTACACAGTAACTTTTGACAGGAAACTTTGTGTGTTGTTGTTGTTGTTGTTCATAGTTTTCATGTTTGTAAAAAAAGGATGTAACGGCATTTATAATATTACGATACCTGTGTTAGACGGGATTCCTGTGTATTTACAAAGTCCGCCATTGTTGTAGTGCATGTGTTTGGAGATAAAAGGGACATGTTAGAATCACAATGCTGTTTRTACTAACTTAACGTAACAGACGTAAAAATTGTATTGCAAAAAGCGAATACTGCACTCAAATATTCATCTTGCCCAGTTTCAAATAATAACTCAATTTCGTTTACTTATTTATTTTATCTATTAAAAATTTACTCKATTTTTCGATTTTTCCCATCGAAAATACATTCCTCAAAGCAAGGATATAATTTAATTTATTAGCTTTATACCCCTAGTTGGGGCAGGGATACCGCAACAGCTCGCGGAGCCAATAACTGCGACCCTGTACTCTCACATCTGAGCGTGCTCGATGCTCTCATCAAATAAACACGTTTTTGACCACAAAAAACGCGCGTTATATATCAATTATTTTATAAAGTAATAGCTTGGGCCGGGTTGTTCATAGCCCGATTAGCGCTAATCCTGCGTTAACTCTTTTTTATTATTGGCGTTTGACAAAACAACGGGTAGTGACATAAAGAACACGGTTGGAGGTTATGTTCRTCAGACGTTTTGAGTTTTGTAAGGAAACCGSTAGCGATGAATTAAATACAGATATTGAACTGCCGTTTCAGACCGACCTGAAAACTGTAMCTTCGAAAAATTTCATACGTGTAGATGGATAAACGTTMAAAACGACGAGTTTGATTGGAAATTGTGGAAAGGTGCAACACCATCAAGAATGACAGGACCTACCTTTGGTCATGGGGGAAAAGGTAACCTCGCTTGAACCGTGAATGATTTAAAAAATGTATTTATAGTATAGTTTAAAACACGAGTGTTTTATCAGGTATAAATAACACTCTCTCTCGTGTTTTAAACGGCTTCAAAGACTCCAACACTAATTTGAAACTCAAGCGTCCCTGGAGAACTTRCCGTAAAAATATATTTTGAGATAAAWGGGGCAAACTGATCATGCGAATCACTTTACAAAGCACTCTTGTCGTCCCACATTGAATACGCATAAAGTAAAATAGAAGCGCTGTTGGCTGTTTCTGCAATCGGTTGACATCCTCTGCATTGGTCAATGATCAGGTATCAAACCTGAGACCTTTTCTAGGGTCATGGACCTTTATATCTGATTTGTAAAAACTCATGAATAATTAATGAGGAAAACACAATAGAAATCGTGAAGAGTGTTGTAATATTTGATACAAAACTGTCTTGATTTGCATAAACTTCAAATCTAATTTTCTCAGCCAAATTCAATTTTATCTTTAAGTTTTTAGTAGATTATGAATGTATACACCTAAATGTTTCACAAGTAATTTATAACATTCGCGTCCGTGTTGTATGGGCTTTACAATCTAATAATCTAGTATAATCCCATACAACACGGCCGCYCATTTTGTAAACATTACAAAGGTCACTTTTATTAGTATTCTTTATWTAAARAATACTAATAAGCAGTGTTTTATCAGATATAAAGGTCCATGCATGTGACCAAATAGTCTCATTCTATTGGCCTAATAACTCATTAATTATGTATGAGTTTTTGAAAGAYTTTGAAAGATTTTTAAACTGTACATGTTTCATGGTTTSAGGAAAACGATTCATTCAGAGGCGGAATATATGACAATGCCTCTTCTGTCATTTGTAGGTATATACATATATGCTGAAGCTACATCCCCACGAATGTTTGGAGATTCTGCTCGTATCAGTTTGTCACGAGGTGCGTCCATTTCATGTATGCGGTTTTACTACCATATGTATGGTGTCAACATGGGTACTTTAAACCTCCTAATGATCAATTCAAATAACATCAAAACAATCTGGACGCAAAAAGGTGATCAAGGAGGTCTGTGGAAAGGGGTTAAAGTGACAATCGATAGCAGCTCGTCATACAAGGTAATGGCATGGCGAGAACTAAGGAGAGGGAATTTGGGTTGGACGTTGTGAGGGAATGCCGAACAATAGGAAAAGGCTWAAATGAACCTAACCCCTGATCCTAACACCCATCTCTACGCCACTGCTATATGGTATCTTTCGTGGGGCCTAAAACGTTTCCGGGACCACCAAAGTCTGAGCTGTTATGCTAGAGTTAGGGTATCTTTTTCAAGAATACAACTTATTTCATGATAACAGCAATGGCAGGGCAACTGTTGATGTGTTGATACAATTCCTAYTGTCTTTTGCGCATGAAATCCTATGTTGCCTAACCACCGGAATCCTGTAAATGTGCCCGGCGATCATTCCCACCCTACGATATTCTGGAGTCCCTTTTATTGGATGCTGATGATCATAGCTTATTTCTACTATTTATTAGGTGATCTTCGAGGCAGTAGTCGGCAAAGGTTTCCAAAGTGATATTGCTCTTGACGATATAACATTTAGTGATGGGCCTTGCGKCGAACTGTCACCGTCGCAACGGCTCTCTACAACAAACTCATCGTCAGACTCTATGCAAGCCGATTGCCCAAGCTGTGCAAAAAAAAGATGGAACTAAAAAGCGTATTCCACAAATGTGCACTCATAACCAAAACGTATTCGCAGGTGAATTATAATTTAATCCCAATTACTTTCGGAACAACAGAAAATTGAGAGCTTATGGATATGCTGTTTTATTTCGATTGTTATCGTGCCCGGTCGGCAAGTTGCCAGCAGTCTGCTCTTTTAGGGAATGTACCGCTCCTAAAATCCGCGAACCGCCGCGGCAATTCATAGTTCGGACAAATCAAACGCGTAATTCGCGCGCGCTGGATTGGCCAATCACAATAGAGGACACGTAATGGCAGTCATGTTGTCCCACAAAAAATGTAAACAAACTCGGATCGGAGGGCGAATTTGAGATGGTTTTGAGATGTTGCTGGGCACTTATGAGCGCTAGCCAGCCAGGTGAAATGGAGGACGATTTATTTTGATTCCCAAGTCAAAAACGTATCAAGAAAAATGCTTGAATTGGATCAAAATGTGCGGAAAAAAGCACGAAGTGCTAAAAGTAAAACTCATAAAAAATAACTAAATCCTTTCTCTAGGACTTTCTCAGATTGACTTTTAAATGTTTTTAACAAAAGAAACAGAAATTTTATCGACAAATCGTCGGAAGACTGTCATTTACAAAAATCGAAAGCATTTGTGGGGCAAGCGCGAGCGTTCGATTCCCGCGCTTTCTTATGATTGGATAATCGCACGCTCGCGCTTGATTTGTCAGAACTATGATACGGGCTCATTCGATCATGGATTCCATAATTATTTTTTTTGATATACAGCCTCTTCGCGTGTGAAAATAACACGTTACCATGGATATTTTGTGCTAATTGTCTTGTATTTTTTGAAACGATACAAATTGAAATTTATATAATAAAAGTGCATTACAT